GTACCTCCATTCAGATGGTGTAGACCAGGCTGGACTTGAACTCACTGGTACCCACCCACCCCTGTCTCCCAGTTGCTGGGATTAAAGGCATGATCTTTATTATTAAAAAAAACAGAGGCTGACCTTACATTTGCGTTGTTGCTGAAGATGACCTTAAACTCCCGATCCCCCTGCCTCCACTTCTCAAGAACTGGGATTACAGGTGTGTGCTACTATGCCTGGCTATACACTTAGAATTTTAACATATTGAAGATTGTCCTAATGTAACTCATACTCCCGTCCATCTAGTTTGAATGCTGTAGGAGCTAGGCCTGGTGCTGCAGGCCTGTGAGCCCAGGACTATAGTATAGTGTCTGAGACAAGATGATGGAAAGTTCAAAGTCTCCTTGATCTATAATATGAATTCAAGACCAGCCTTGTCCCAAAATCAAAAACCCAAACAAGAAAGTTGGATGACACTATATGAAGTCAGGTAAAGGGGACCAGCAAAGTGGGAGAGAAGGAATGGGGGGATAAATAGAATGATGGGTTGGAGAGATGGCTCAGTGGTTAAGAGCACTGGCTGCTCTTCCACAGGACCTGGGTTCAATTCTCAGCACCCACGTGGCAGCTCACAACTGTCTGTAACTCCAGGGGATCTGATGTTGTCTACTGGCCTCCTTGGGCACTGCATGCATGATGCACAGACAGGCATGTAGACAGAATTCATACACATAAAATAATATTTTTTTGGGTTTTTCGAGACAGGGTTTCTCTGTGGCTTTGGAGGCTATCCTGGAACTAGCTCTATAGATCAGGCTGGTCTCAGAGATCTGCCTGCCTCTGCCTCCCAAGTGCTGGGATTAAAGGCAAATGCTACCACCACCCACCAATAAAATGTTTTAAAAAGAATAAATATAATACATATATATAGAAGTGTTACAATGGAAACCATTTCTTTGAATGTTGTCCAAAAAGTTAATTTTTCTTTTTTCTTTCTTCCTTCCTTTCTTTTTTTTTTCAAGACAGGGTTTCTCTATGTAGTCCTGGCTGTCCTGGAACTCCCTCTATAGACCAAGCTGGTCTCAAATTCAGAGATCCACCTGGTTTTGCCTCCCTAGTGCTGGGATAAAACGTGTGTGCCACCACTACCTGTCTCAAAAAGTTAATTTTAAAAAGTAAGAATCCCTAAAAAATGAAATAAAGCCAGGATTCTTTGTGAGTTTGAGATCAACCTGGACTACAAAGCAAGTTCCAGGACAGCAAGGACTGTTGGACAGAGAAGCCCTGTCTTGAAAAACCAAAATAAAAAAAAAGATAAAATAAGCCAGGCATGGTGTCCCACATGTGTAATCCACAGTTTCTTTCCTGTGTGGGCTGTATGACATGGCACCCAGTGAAGTTTGGAGAACAACTCCAGGAACTCGGTTCTCTCCGTGTCCAGGTGGTCCCTGGGATCAAGTACAGATCCTCGGACTCATCGTCAGCCAAGCACTTGACCAAAACCATGGTCCAGTGGTCCTAAATGTGTCTTTCCACTTCCACCTCTCATGACAGGTCCCTGGTGTTTCTCTTTCTGCTTTTGTTTTGTTTTGAATTTGTTTGGTTATTTTGGTGTTTGAGATAGGATCTCATGGAGGCCAGACTGGCCTCAGAGTCATTATATAACAAGACGACCTTTGACTGCTGATCTTCCTGCCTCTGCCTGATGAGCTGGGATTACAGGCACAAGTCACCACTCCTAGCACAAGCACTTGTTTTGGTTTGTTGTTTTGTTTCTGAGCGACAGGCCTTTCTGTGTAGCGTAGGCTAGGTTTGGCTGTAGAATCATCGTCAGAATCCTGCTCACAGGTGTGCCGCCTCAGCCACAGCCGTCCAGAACACTAGTGCTTGTCTGCTGTGTCGCAGCAGGGTCCTCATTTGTCCCTTTGCCTCCACCTCCTCCTGTCCACCCATCCTAACCCACATTAGAGCAGTGAGGCTGAGTCAGAGTCAGAGCACACTAACTATGGTGTTTAGCGTCACGTGTCCCAACTGCCAAAAGAGTCCTGTGGTGCAGCCGTGGAGGCAGAAGCAGGAGAATTAATTAGCTCAAAGCTATCCCGAGCTACACAGCAAGTTGAAGCTTGGTGGCTCACAAACCTGTCATGCCCCTGACTGACCAGCCACCTTCACACAGGTGCACACACATCCTTAAAAATAATAAGTATGTGTCCTTAAGTTCAGGCCGATGTGGCAGCTCATATTGTGGCTGCACTCCCAGAATGTAGCCGTCTGAGACAGTTGGAGAACAACCTGGAAAACTCTCTCTTCCCTAAAGCTGTCCTTCACCCAGCTCAATGAATTTCTCTAATTCCCTCATTTAAGTTGTTGATGCCTCCTGCATACTCACTTCACACTGTGACTAGTTGATGCCTCCTGTATACTCACTTCACACTGTGACTAGTTGATGCCTCCTGCATACTCACTTCACACTGTGACTAGTTGATGCCTCCTGTATACTTACTTCACACTGTGACTAGTTGATGCCTCCTGTATACCTCACTTCACACTGTGACTAGTTGATGCCTCCTGTATACTTACTTCACACTGTGACTAGTTGATGCCTCCTGTATACTTACTTCACACTGTGACTAGTTGATGCCTCCTGTATACTCACTTCACACTGTGACTAGTTGATGCCTCCTGTATACTTACTTCACACTGTGACTAGTTGATGCCTCCTGTATACCTCACTTCACACTGTGACTAGTTGATACCTCCTGTATACCTCACTTCACACTGTGATTAGTTGATGCCTCCTGTATACTCACTTCACACTGTGACTAGTTGATGCCTCCTGTATACCTCACTTCACACTGTGACTAGTTGATGCCTCCTGTATACTTACTTCACACTGTGACTAGTTGATGCCTCCTGTATACCTCACTGATCACACTGTGACTAGTTGATACTTCCTGTATACTCACTTCACATTGTGATTAGTTGATGCCTCCTGTATACTCACTTCACACTGTGACTAGTTGATGCCTCCTGTATACTCACTTCACACTGTGACTAGTTGATGCCTCCTGTATACCTCACTGATCACACTGTGACTAGTTGATGCCTCCTGTATACTCACTTCACACTGTGATTAGTTGATGCCTCCTGTATACCTCACTTCACACTGTGATTAGTTGTTGTGCATGATTAGAGTTTCTTACAAAAATATTCCTTAGTCACTACAATTACAAAATGCTTCTGTCCACACTGCCTGCCGCATTCTATAAAACTGGGGCTCCAAGCCGGGTGGTGGTGGCGCACATGCAGTGTTTGGGAGGCAGAGGCAGGCAGATCTCTGTGACTTTAAGGCTAGTCTGGTCTACAAGAGCTAGGTCCAGGACAGTTAGGGCTATGCAGAGGAAACCCTGTCTCAAAAAAACAAAAACAACAGAAAAACAACTGGGACTGTAGATCCTGCCTTCACTCATCTGGCTCTGTCTCCTTATTAAACTGTGACTTAATATTTACATATTTAGTGCATTTGTGTGGAGGCCAGAGGCCAACCCTCTCTCGGGTCAGTTCTCTCACCATGGATAGAACTCTGGTCCTCAGGTTTGGTAGCAACTGCCTTCACTCACTGGGCCATCTCCCAGGTCCTAATTTTTGTGCCTCCCAAGTTCTGAAATTAAAGGTGTGCAGTCATTTTATAGGGGTTTGAACCCAGGATTCTATGTTAGGCAAGCACTTTACCAGTTAAGCCATAGTCCCAGCCTGAAATTTTTGTTGTATTTGTTTGTTTGTTTGAGATAGGATCTCGCTATGTAACTCTAGCTGGCTGGGAACTTGCTATGGAGATAAGGTGTCTTAGTTGGAGTTTCTATTGCTGTGATGAAACACTATGACCCAGAAGCAACTCGGGAAGGGAAGGGTTTGCTTGGCTTATGCTGCTACACCAGTGTTTATTAACACACCAGGAACCTGGAGGCAGGCGTTGATGCAGAGGCCATAAAGAGGCACTGCTTTCTTGCTGGCCTCCCCTGGCTTGCTCAGCCTGCTTTCTTAGAGAACCCAGGACTGTCAGCCCAGGGATGGCACCACCCACAATCCATCACTAGCTAAGAAATGCCTTACTACTGCTGGATTTTACGTCGACATTTTCTCACTTGAGGTTCCCTCCTTTCAGATAACTCTAGCTTGTGACAAGTTGACATAAGACTAGCCAGCACACTGGTCTAGCCTCAAACGGAGATCCCTACCTTTTGATGAGGTGCTGGGGATCAACCCAGGACTTCTACAGGGTAGGCAAGCCATTATAAATTACTGTTTTCATTCAGCAGGCTCATTATGTAGGCAAGGATGATCTTAACTTCTGAGTTCCCTGCCTCAACCTCCCCAGGACTAGGTAAGCACTCTACCGACTGAGCCACAGGCCCAGGCACCATGATTCATTTTTAGACTTTATTATTTGTGTGTGGGGGTGAGGAGCTGGGCTCTCGTGGCAGTCCTTGGGTAACTCTGTGAAGCTGGCTCCCTCCTTCCACCTCTAGGTGGGTTCTGGGTATCAAACTCAGGTCTTCGGGTTTGGGTTTCAGTGGCAGAAGCCTTTTGCCAGTTGAACCTTTCCACCGTCTCCACTCTTTAATAGTGGTCCACGAAGCATCCTCATTTTGAAACATAGTAGAAAGATGACACCAGTTCCCAACAGCGCGCCCCTATTTACTCAAATCTTCTACTGCCACTCCCCTTTCCCCCTCAATTTCTAAGCGAGTTAGTGGTTATGAGTGGGCTAGTACAGGGGGTTGGAGAGATGCCTGGGCGGTTAAGACTCCTGGCTGCTCTTCCAGAGGACTCGGGCTCGACTCCCAGCACCCACATGGAGGCACAGAACTGCAAATGATAGTAATAATGATAATGATACATTTTAAAAAGTGGTATGGTAGCCGGGCGTTGGTAGCTCACACCTTTAATCTCAGCACTCGGGAGGCAGAGGCAGGAGGATCTCTGTGAGTTCGAGGCCAGCCTGGTCTACAGAGCGAGTTCCAGGACAGCCTCCAAAGCCACAGAGAAACCCTGCCTCGAAAAACAAACAAACCGGTAATATGGTATGAAAACGCGACGGGTAAAGCAAGCCTGTCCTGCCAGCTCGGGAAAGGCTAAGTCAGGGCTACTTAATGTGAGGGCCAGCACAGGTTACACAGGGAGTTCCACCTGGAACTCAAAAATTGGCCCAACGCAGGCGCTCCCGAGTAGGGACGCCAAAAGCGTTCGGCCAGCTGGGCCAGAGGCGCAGAGGGCGGAAGGAACGCGCGCGCCGCCAGCCGTTTCGTTATGTAACCGGCCACAGTCGGGAGAGCCGGCGCTGCACGTCCGGCCGGCTCTCCGGAAATCACGCCCCCTTCCCTTTTACGGGAAGTCCTCGCTTGCGTCAGAGCGGCCCCAAGGCGGCGGCCGGTTACAGCCTGCCCCACTCCCGACTTCCGCCTGCCTCGAGTCCGGAGTCGCGGCCTTCCCAGCGCTCGTCCCCCCCAGCCTGCGGCGTCCGACCATGTTTGGCCTGCGGAGAAACGCGGTGATCGGCCTGAACCTGTACTGCGGCGGCGCCAGCCTGGGCGCGGGCGGCGGCTCTCCGGCCGGGGCGCGCCTCACGGCCGAGGAGGCCAAGGCGCGGCGCGAGGGGGGAGGGGAGGCCGGCCTGCTGCCCGGCGCGCGGGTGGTCGTGCGGCCGCCTCCCGTGGGCGCGGAGGACCCCGACGTCACCGCGTCGGCAGAGAGGCGGCTGCTCCGGTCGCCCGGCCTCCTCGCCGTGCCGCCCGAGGAGATGGCCGCGCCGGCCGCCGCCATCATATCTCCCGAGGACGAGCTGGACGGCTACGAGCCGGAGGCGCTCGGCAAGCGGCCGGCCGCGCTGCCCCTGCTGGAGCGCGTGAGCGAGGCGGCGAAGAGCACGGGCGCCGACGGCTCGCTGCCCTCCACGCCGCCGCCGGCCGAGGAGGAGGACGACGAGCTGTACCGCCAGTCGCTCGAGATCATCTCGCGCTACCTGCGCGAGCAGGCGGCCGGCGTCAAGGACGCGAAGCCGCTGGGCGAGGCGGGCCCGGCGGGCCGGAGGGCGCTGGAGACCCTGCGGCGCGTGGGCGACGGGGTGCAGCGCAACCACGAGACGGCCTTCCAGGGTAAGCGGCGCCCGGGGCGGGGCGGGCCGGCCGTGCGGGGAGAGCCCGAGCCTGGCTCTCCGCAACCAGAATGTTCTGGCCGTGAGTCATTGTTTCCGCCCATCTGGCAGTCGGGTTCAAAAGCCGGAAAGGGTGGGATGTCAGTGTCGGCGTGGGGTCGGCCCGAGAGCCCCAGAGCCAAGTCCCCTCGCCGTGGGTGGGCAAGGGGGCCGTGCCCCGCGTCGGACAAAGGAGGCCATGAGGTTGCATGCTTTTCTCCTTCTCAGGCATGCTTCGGAAAATGGACATTAAAAACGAAGACGATGTCAAATCTTTTTCTCGAGTGATGGTCCATGTTTTCAAAGATGGCGTAACAAACTGGGGCAGGATTGTGACTCTTATTTCTTTTGGTGCCTATGTGGCCAAACACTTGAAGAGCATAAACCAGGAAAGCTGCATCGAACCATTAGCAGAGAGTATCACAGACGTTCTTGTCAGGACAAAACGTGACTGGCTGGTCAAACAAAGAGGCTGGGTAAGTTTGCCTTACGGTTTACAGTGACTGGAGTGGAAATGGGGTGCAGGATTTTGTGAAGGTGGAGGCTACTAGAGCTCCTTCCCGGTCCAGATCTCATTTACGTATCTCTGGTGGCTGGATGTTGGACGTTGTAAGTGGCAGGTCCAGAGAAAAAGTGCTGTGACGGTCTTGAATTGTACCAAAAGGTCTTGTGTTCTGTAGGTTGTTCTTCTAATTCAGTTGGATAATCTTCAGAGCAGTGGATTCATTCAAACCGTGAAGAAGTACGAGTCACCTGTGATGACTCGGTAGCCTTCCCCGTGGGCAATTGTAATCAAATGGAGAACGGGGTAGAGCCTGCATTTTAGAAGTTTTAATACCCAAAGAGCTCTGCTGTGAGGTGTTCTCAGCCTCATTACTGACCCACGGGAGAAATACTGCAGGGGGATCCGAAGAGAGTTTCTGTCTTCTACCATGTCGTGGGGGCCCTCATAATTCTTCCATTCAGATTGTGCAATTCAACTGCTGTGAGTTAGTGTAACTACTGAAAAGAGATGTTTCTCTTGCATCCCGGGAGTATATAATAATTGGTTCCCCATTGTTTTGGAGGATATTTTAATTCACCCTTTCTCTGTATTTAGTGTTACAACAGCAGAAACCCATACTTGAAAAATGTGCTTTTCTTTTTTGTTTTCTAGGATGGGTTTGTGGAGTTCTTCCACGTACAGGACCTAGAAGGCGGCATCAGAAATGTGCTGCTGGCTTTTGCGGGTGTGGCTGGAGTAGGGGCTGGCCTGGCATATCTAATAAGATAGCCTTATGAGTGCAGTAGGGGACTCTTAACTCCAGCCACCAAACCACCTGCTTCTGTGAAAACAAATGTATTTATGAAGTTGGACTTGAAGCTGCCCGGGCTTTAACAATCCAGGAGTTCTACTCTAGCAACATAGCCAGAAAGCAAGCAAGTGGCTACAGGATTGTGGCTAACAAGAATAAATACATGGGGAAGTGCTCCCTCTTGAAGAGTTACTATCTGAAAGAAGCCAAGTTTTCACTCAGCAAACTTTGGGAGGCCATGGAGGAGGACTTGTAGATTGAATGAATGGAAGTGGGTAGGTGAACAGACTTGATTTCGTTGTCTAGAAGAGTGGCCAGTCCTCAGGCTAGTCATAGAACTCACTAAATGTGCAGTCCGTCACTCCACTCCTGTAGTGTTGAAAGAGAAGCACTAACAATGGCGGTGATCTGTGTAAGTTGGATTTAAGCTGCAAGTAACCAGACCATGACTAGGAAGCCGCAGTACTGTACAAGAATGTGAAAGGCTCTCTGAGCTTTCCCAGGAGTACTTCTTGACGAAGTCCAAGTGCTCAGGACGTAGTCCTGTCTACTTGGGCTTGGTTTTGATGATAATCTTAAGTTTATTAGCCTAGTAATGGCCAAAAGTACTTGACTTAAGGTTCACTAATTAGTTACAAAACTGAAAAGCCTCAATTTTTAAGGAAAACAGCATATAAATTGTATTTGTCTGTAAAAATTGTATATATTTTTACAGAAAGTCTATTTCTTTGAATAGAAAAGGAGGGATGACTCAGATTTAATTTTTCCATACCCTTTTGAAACTTGCAACTTCTCTAGTTAGAAATCTATTTCTTACAGCTTTTTAAAACGTTGTCATGATCAGCTCTAGAGTATATACAGAACCAGTTGTGTGTGTGGACTGGTTATAGTGGAACAAATGGGATTCATAACTATGCAGGCTTAATTTTCCAGTCTGATTTTGTATGTAAGGATCACAGGTAGATGTGAGGCATATGGCCCCCTGTTGACTTTAAATTGTAAAGTGGTTTGGTATCACAGGCTAGACTCATAACCATGGTGCTATTCACAAGGTTTACTTGTTTGACACAAGTTTAAGCCTGGTGGTGTCAATAAAACAAATATGTATTTCTTTTCTACTAATGATTGCCAAGCTTTGTTTTGAATTTCTGTATTAGTCTCTAAATGTCCCACCTGTTGTATTAACCTTTACTTCCTCTCCTTTCTTTACATACTGGCTTGTTAAGATCTTCTGGTCCCTCTACAAATATAATCGAAGTCTACATTTCCTCCCTGGAACCCTCACCCTCCAACTAAGAACCTAAGTGATCTCCCTCCCATCCTATCAGAGTCAGCAGAACTTTGTCTCCTTAGAGGGCAGTGAAGTGACACTTCCTCTTTGAGCCCTATGACCAACAGTAACGGGTATGGGGGTGAAACTCCCTTTTCCACTGTTTATCCTATTGATCAAAAGTCCCCTTGGGAATTTGAGAAGTTGGAGTGAGCTGCATCATACATAAGTTTCTATACAGTTTGCTCCTAGTATGGATATGCTCACTTAAATTTTTAAAAAGGTGTGTTTTGTTGAGCCTCAGTTCTATAATAGCCACTGGTAAACTGAGGAGTTTGTTTGAGCTACGGTCATTTTGAAAGCTTGCCTCAGAATGTGACCTTTCGTCAGGACTACAGATAAAAATAGTCCTGAATCAGATGACTAAGAATGTAAGGGGGAAGACATGCCCGGCCTGCCCATCTCAGCCACAGGTCGTCTTGCTGGAGCTATTTGTACCTAGATTTATCCTTGGTTATAAATTGCTTATTTATGTTTATCTCTTGACTTATAAGCACTTTATGTAGTTTAATTAACCCTACAGGTTAAGGTGACTAAAAGGCTAGTGTCCCATATTCAGTTGTGTGAGTTTGTGTTTATACAGACAGGTATTTTAGTTCCAGGGCCATGAAGGCTTGCAGAGCCCAAGTGGGTGAGAAAAGGGGTTTTTATTTAGAGATGAGGCACGTGATCTGAGTACTCACTAGCAGAATAGTTGAGACATCCTCTGAAGCGAAGAGGGAGGGGCAGTTTGGAGATGGCTCTCAGCAAATTCTGTTTGTCTTACACTTCTCTCAGGGAATAACACCATACAGTCTTCAAGCATCCATGTACATTCTACCTGGGGTGGTGAATACCTTCATTCTGGTAGAACCAGCATTTTTAACATCTGTTCCCGAAAGGGTTAGGACCAACTGCAAGTTAATGTGGGTTGTAAAAAAAAAAATGTGTTTCCCTAACTTCTGTTTCTTCTCCTAAGGAAAAAAAATAAAACCTTTTTTTTTTTCTCCAAAGTAAGGTGTGGTATGGGTCTTTTATCGCCTTCCTTCCCCCTTATGCAAGTCTTTTTAGGGAAGTCAGCTGGGCAAGTGCGTGTAAGTGAAGTAGAAGTTGATTTGCCTTGCAGCAAAGTGATAAGAGTGTGCAATGTAAATGTGAAGTCTTGTGTTTAGCGTATTACCACTTAAACTAGTTCTTCACTTTTTTGGGTGGTGGAAGAGAATGCTTTTTGGTTTCCTTTGAGACAGTCTCAAAATAGCCCAGGCTGGATGATCTTAAACTCTGGTCTCTTAGCGCCACACCTGCCTTTGTTGCTGAAAGGGTTCTTGTGTCTTAAGTTCACTAGCCAAGGCTGACCTTGAATTTTTCTTGCTCCTGCCTACACCTCTGGTGGGCCTCTGCTTTAGCTGAGATGGGTTTATGCTTCCTTGGAGTGTGTTGTCCCAACCTGCCCCTGTAAGGAGTGTACTTGGAAAAGGAGTTTTCCTTCCCCCAATCCCCTCCCCCCCAAATGCTGGGAGTCAGACCCAGGACCTTGTGTGTAGTGGGCAGGCTCTTCACTGACCCACACTCTATCTTAGGATGCTGCTCTGTGCCTAGTCGGATTTGGTGCAAGCTCCATAGGTAGGTGCTCTCCAGCTGAGGTACAGGCGCTGCCCACCAGTCCTTCTTAATGCGGAAATCAGACGCGCCTGTTCATGAAAACATTTTTATCTCCTGAGTTGTATGTGGAGGTCAGTTCAACTTGGAAGTCAAGGTTCTCTCCTCCTACTGTGGGACCTGGGGATCAAACTCAGGCTTGTGGCTCTTAACCACTGAGCCATCTCACTAGCCCTATTTGATAGGCTGCTGTGTTGTTCACTTGTTTTTTAATGTAAAAGGGTTCACAAAGCAATGACTGACTCCACCGCACTTCTGAGATGAAAAAGATTAGTCACCTGAGGTTTTAGTAGTTCTTGGTATTTGTCAGGGCCTCTCCTTCCAAGAAGGAGGTGAGGCTAAGCCAGTTTGAAGAACTATCCTGCCTTTGTTGTCAAATACCTTGAAAGGGAGCCGGATCACCATGGAAATGTGCAAATTTGAGGTTTGCATAACTGGTTTTCAGCCACAAACACCAAACACTAATCATGCAAACAGCATCTGGCACCTTCTCCACTCAGTTTTGTGTGTTTGATCGTCTGTCCCATCTTCATGAATTTCATTACCAGATGACAGTAAATTTTATTGGTTTCACTGTGTAGCCCTGGTGGTCTTAGAACTCTAGACCAGACTGACTTCGAACTCAGAACACCTGTACCTGCCCTCTGAGTGGTAGGATTAAAGGCATGTGCCGCCAACAACAGGCAGTAACTTGTAAAGCCACTTTGTACTGGGCATAGTGGCTCATGCCTGTAGCCCCAGCACCCGTAGCCATGCCCATCACCCCGTTAGGCTGAGGCAGAAGTACTGCCTGGAGTTGAAAGCCAACATGGCCGCATAGAGACTAGATTTAAAGGTGTGGGGGAGGGTTGGAAGTTGGCTCAGATTTGGTAGCACTAACTGGTCTTCCAGAGAGCCTAGATTTAGTTCCCAGCTTCCATGTAAGAACTCAAAAAGCCACCTAAGTAACTTCAGTGCCAGGAGATCTGATCCCCTCTTCTGTCTTGAGCCCTGCTTACATGGACACAAAGGAAAAGAAAGGTATCCATTTGTTGGGAGTGTTCAATAGCTGTACAGAGACATGCTGGGACAATGGTACCCAAGAAAGGGTAACACTTAACATGCTAAATCTTGCTTGGCACACACCTGAGATCCCAGCAGGATTACATCAGGTCCAAAGCAAGCCTGTGCTACATAACACGTCACTGGATAGAGACAGGACCCTAATTCTTGGCCTGGGTTAAGTTTCAGTTAATGATGTTTAGGGGCTTTTAGTTACTTTTGATACAGGGCCTAGGCTTGCATTGAACTTTGGATGCTCCTGCCTTGGCCTTTTATGTCACCATGATGGGCCCCATTGATGCTTTAGGACATGAAGCTGTTTGTGCACAGTCCGTTACTTTACCTTAAAAACTTAATCAAGCCAGTTTGTCTACAGCAGCACACTTGTAATCTCAGCCTGGGGGAGTCCTAGGCGATGCTGTGACTTAGAGGTCAGTCAAGGTCATCACAAGGTTTTCTATTTCCAAGAAAATACCTTCAAAGTGGATGTTAAGGCTGGGAGTGGTGGTGGTACACCCTTAGGACGCCTAAGACTGTAGATGGCAGCTTAAGGATCAGGTATTAAAGGTCAGCCTTTGCTACAAGATTTTGAAGCCAGTTTAGGCTGACTGAGAGCTTGTTTGGGGGAAACAATAAGAAGTGGGTGTGGTGGCACATATCTTAATTTCACTGACATTTAGGAAGACTTTAAGGCCAACCAGGACTCTTACTCAAAGAGTAACCTGAGTCCCTTAAGGAGACAACCCACCCCACCTGGTGTCTGACACAACTAATGTTCAGTTTTCTACAGCCGTGCTGTGGAGGCCCAAGTTCTGGCCTCCTCCCTCTGCTCCCTCAAGTGCCAGACAGATGTATGCCTGTGCCAGCTTCAGAACCCAGGCCTTCTGAATACCAGGCAAACTGTCAAACAGCCACCAGCCCTTTCATTTTCAATTCTTGTTTTGTGATTTTCCATTTTTTTTTCCTGATTGTGCTGTAAGGGTGCTGGAGTTTAGACCAGAGCTGCTGACCTTCCCTGTCGAGTAACTCGAGGACCAGGTCATTCTGCTGCCTAAGAATACTTTTCAAGGTCGGGGTGTCACTCATTCATTAGGGTGTGTATTTAACCTCTGCAAGTCCTGGGTTCAGTCTCGTCTCACGGCCACCCTGCTCCCCTTTTCGTGAAACTTGGTGGCATTCTAGCCCAGGCTGGCATGGAGCTTGGGATGATAGTTTTGACTTAGCCTCGAAAAGTCCTGGTATGAGGTGGCCATAAGGCCAGCCTAAAACAAGTTTTGGTAACTAAAGAATTTTACAAAAATCAGAGTGAAAAAAGTGCCATTAGTGTGTAGCATGGCTGCAGCCAGCTAGATACCCAAAGCAGAAGAATCATTTGCAGAGGCGTCTCGGACCCCGGCTCCCCACCCCTACCTACTCCAGAGGCTTCTGGAGATTTGAAAACTTGGTTCTGTCTTAGTTCACAGTATGCTGTGTTAGTTTAGCTTATCTCAGTTATGTGAAGCATCTGGGAGGGGGAGGGGCATCTGCCGGGGAGGCTGATGACTCATACAACTTGACAATTGAGTGGGGTTTCTCTCCATTGGGGGTAGGAGGTAGGGTTCCGAGACTGGGTTTCTCTGTGTAACAGACCTGGCTGCCCTGGAATTCCTTCTGTAGATCAGGCTAGCCTTGAACTTAGAGATCCACCTGCCCCTACCTCCCGAATGGAGTGCACTACCACACCCAAGCTTTTTTGTTTTGTTTTGTTTTGAGACTAGGAGTCACTGTGTGTTGTCCAGGTGAAACCTGGACTCCAGTAACTCCATACCTGACAGGAGAAGGAACTGACTTCTGGTTAATAGTTTTGTTTTTGTTTTTTTTAGAGACAGGGTTTCTCTGTGTAGCTGTGGAACCTGTTCTAGAACTTACTCTGTAGACCAGGCTGGTCTCAAACTCACAGAGATCTGCCTACCTCTGTCTTCAAGTGCTGTGCTGGAATTAAAGGCATATGCACCACCAGCACCCAGCCTGGTTAATTAATTCTTTTTTTTTTTTTTTTTTTTTTTTGGTTTTTCGAGACTCTCTGTATTGTTTTGGAGGCTGTCCTGGAACTCACTTTGTAGACCAGGCTGGCCTCAAACTCACAGATCCGCCTGCCTCTGCCTCCCGAGTGCTGGGATTAAAGGAGTGCACCCCCATCCCCACTCCCCACCCCACCCCACCCTGGCTATCCCACTCTATTTTTGAAACCTTATAGCCTTAGCTGTTTTGGAACTTGCTGGCCTCAAACTCCCAGAGATCTGCCTCCCAACTTTAAAGGGATCGAAGGTTTGTAGCCCAGCCTGGTTTTATTTATTTTTAATTACCTGTATATGGGAGGGGTTATGTACATGTAAGTGGGTTGGCTCCCTAGGAGATGGAATTACACATTTGCAAGCCACTGGTTATAAATTCTGTGAACCAGACTCTGGATTTCTACAAGAACTATTATCGGAGTCTAGTCTGCACTTCAGGAGGGTAACAGTATGACCCCATGGCCTACTCGATGGACTGCGGGAGTGCAATATTACATAGGAAAGGCATATTAAGTACCTTGTCTTACTTGAGACATCCTTATTCCATGGCCTCAGTCTTCCAAATGTTGGGATTATTGCCATGTCCTTACCTAAATTCCCTCATGAATAACCTATTATACTAGAGCTCGAACCTTACAGCTAACTAGTTCCTCACCTTCCAGACTCACAGCCAGGGAAAGCAAGTCCTGTTTTTGATCACAGGACTGGGAGCTACACTCTGCAGAACAAAATTTAGTAAGAACAACCCTTGAAAGTTACTAAATGCATGGTGTCTCTACTCTTAATCTTGTTCCCGTGGGAGACTCAATTGCTGCTCTTCCCATCCCGATTCAGAAAACCAGTTTGCTCTGGCTGCCCAGACTTCCCCACAGACTGCATTTTTCTTGCCCATGAGCTCATTGTTTTGGCTCCTTTGCTGGTATAAATCCACCCAGACTGTAGGGGAGATCTCAGCTTCTGGTCCCCTGACTGGCTGGGGCCGCATTCCATTCAGAATTTCACCACCCCCACTTGATTTGGTCACATGTGTATGTTTGTTTATTCAGGTTAGCCTGGGACAAGGTGTGCTGGGAAAGAGACCAAGAAAATAGTCACGGGAAAAGCTTAGCTGTTAGTATTATCCTGGGAGAGGTTTGCAGCTGTTTTTGGAGAGCATGGTTTGCTGTGTAGGACTCAAACCTGTAGCAGTCTCCTGTCCCCATTGCGTGCTAGAATTACAGCATGAACCGCCACCCTGCCTGGCGTCCTATGCATGTCAC